GCATCGAAGGGGTCTGCTGATACTTTCCTCGTGTCGTTTTCCTGAGTTTCCTGGTCTGGACTAGAGCCAACACTTCCAGCCAGATTGCAGAAGAGATAACGGCTCCGTTGCTTCTTCATCTACGGCAGTGGTTCCCAAACTTGGCAACTTTTAAGACTTGTGGACTTCAACTCCCAGAATTCTCCAGCTAGCTCTTCTGGCTGGAGAACTCTGGGAGTTGAAGTCCACAAGTCTTAAAGTTGCCAAGTTTGGGAACCACTGATCTACAACTGCATAGGAGTCTCCAAACTCGTCAAATTTAAGACTTGCGAATTTCGACTCCCAGAGTTCTGGGAGTTGAAGTCCGCACGTCTTAAAAAGTTGACAAGTGTAGAGAGCCCGGATGTAGTGGGTACCAACATCAAAGATGCTAAATTGCCCATTTTTGCACTCCTGCTTCGCCTCGTCTGCAGAGGCTGCCTGGGAGATTCCGGATTTTCCATACTCATCAAGGTTTTAGAAACTGGCCCTGTTGAGACCTGATCGTAGACCTGCAAAGGTTTTGCTTCGGGATTTGACTGATAGCTCCAGAGCGTCCAAGGGGCTGATTCACATCCATTCAAAAAAAAAGGCTGCAGCTTTCCTTTGATCACGCGTAACTCGTAACAGCTGTCAAATGCGGCCGCCACGGATCGTCAGCTCCTAGCCTAACCATGACAGCCAAGCTGGGAGGCAGGTTTTCAGTTAATAGGGAAATTGGGGCGGCACCAACAGGGCCCCTGCAGGGTTGCAGAACCTACACACACACACACACACACACACACACACACACACACACACACACAGAGCTACTCCAAGCATCCAAACCTAGAAGGGGGAGGGAGCGGAGAGCTGCAGTTCGACAGGTTCCTACCTGTGCTCATTTTCCCAGCCCTTTTTCCTCGTTTCACCTTTCTGGGGAAGAGAGAAGATCAACCCAAAAGTGTAGCAGGTGATGCTGTTGCTCTGGGAAGAGACCAACCTGTTCTGCCACTTCTCTGCTCATGGCCAAAGCCAGCTGCAGCTGGAGCTCCTCTTCCCCGCTGGTCTGAGGCCGGGCCTGCTCCAGTTCTGAAGACACTCGCGGTGATGTAGCTGCAAGGGGGGGGGAGAAACGGGCAACAATCTTGGCTCCCTCTGAGCGGCTGAACCCTCCTCGTCTCCCCCTCAGCCGCCCTCCCAGCGCCAGCTGCCCTTCCACCACCAAGGTGGCGATGTCCCTCCTGTCTACCTCTTAATGGGAAGTTCCCCAGGCAGACAGGTTGGAACTCAAAATAACCCTCCTCTGAGTGAAAAAAACAGACAAGCCAGAATTGTGAAGACGGAGAGGACTGGAATCCAGCTGAGGAAAAGTAAACATGAGGTTTACAGCCGCAGATGTTTGGGGGTGGGAAGAGAGGGTTGCAAAGGTGATTGTCCACTCTCACTTGAACTCTCCCCAAAAGGCAGAAGGACGACCAGGGTGAGGTCTCCCACTTAACAGGCTGCACACGGAGAGCAATCTGACCGTCAGGGCAGGTGCCAAGGGGGTGTGATTAGGCGAGACCCCCGAGGCCAGACTCTTTCAAGACTCCCCCCGAAGGCAGACCCTGAACTGGCCTTACGTTAAACACAAATCCGCTGTCCCTCTATGGCAGCAAAGGAGGCAGGCAGGAAACCCCCATCAAGGGCCACTAGCAATTCGCATTCGCAACAGCACCAGATGCTCTTATGGCCGGGAATGGTTTGCTATGCTGATGTGCACCCTACGGTCTGCCATTATTCCCTGGAAAATGACAGGCTGAGTGTAGAGCAGTGTTTCTCAACCTTGGTGACTTTAAGTCCTGTGGACTTCAACTCCCAGAATCCCCCAGCCAGCGCAGCTGCGCGGGCTGGGGGATTCTGGGAGTTGAAGTCCACAGGACTTAAAGTCACCAAGGTTGAGAAACACTGGTGTAGAGAGAGACCCCCGGGGTTCACTCCCAGACATCTCCTGTAAGTGAAGTGAGACAATCCAAGGAAATATTATGCATAAGGGAATATTGGCCCAAAGCCACCATCTCCCTCTCCTAATACGGTAAGGACAGGACAGTCCCGGGAAGCTTCCCAGGCCTGCTTGGGCCCATGAAACATCTGTTTGTCAAGCGAAGTGACATGTTAATCCTTCCCTGCACCCAGACCGGGAAGACTTGATAACGACGACTCCACGCACACCGAGGAGTGTGTGCAAACCCCTCAGGATTCAGCATGGCCGGCCTGAGTCAATCTGGTTAGGGGAGCTCACCTCCCTTAAGTTTCCACCTTCAGCTGACGGCAAGTTGTCTCCGAGGCAAAATTTCTCAGGGATTTAAAATCACAGCAGCGTTTCAGATTAAAGATGCACCGACTTCCCCGGGGAAGCCTCCGTTAGGCTTTACAAAACCCTGCCTGTAAAGTGAAGCGACCCATCCTCCACCTCCCACGCCATATTTAAATCCCTGATGTCATTAGGAGGCTAGTCAATCACTGGGCAACCATTTCTTAAATTTCCGAAGCGTCCCAGCGCTGCGGAGAGAGCCCCATTCCCCCAGCGATCCAGCCTAAACGGTTTCCTTGTAACCCATGAAGGGATCCTTTGTTATCCTGCTACAAAGCGCCTGATCATTAACTCAGATGTTTGCGCAAGATGGCACCGAGTAGATCCAATTTTGACACCCCCGAGACCTGCCTCTTGGCCGCTTCCAGAAACCTTCCGATTCCCAAACTGTAAGGAAGTCAAAAACCAAAATTCCCACAGGTCAACTCTGGGCAGCCCTTCAGGCCAGAAATGAAGACCCTTCCCAGAAGATATTTCAGCTGCCTGGGCCTTCAGGGGAACCCCAGTGCCCCCCACTATGTGTGTCTGAGAAACACTGTCTGAAGTGTGTGGTGGGGGAGTAGCAATAGCAATAGCAGTTAGACC